CCGCTGCGCGCTCCCCGGTAGAGGCAGCGCATCAATGTGCCGGTGCACCAGGCGGAGTGGCATTGGCAGCACCGTCTGCCGTACCCCGACGCCACGCTGCTGCATGTCTGGCATTTGGATCCGGAGAGGATCCCAGTGCTGGTCGCGCCACGGCCAGCGAGGGCCCATGCGGAGGAGGTGCGGCGCCGGTGGGCGGTGCTTACGCCGGAGCAGCACGCCAACCCGGACTACGCCTTCGACTCGCCGAGCTGGGCTCGTTGGTTTGCCTTCGAGCATGAGGAGGTGAGGCGACGCGGCGTCCGCGGCGTCGACCGCAGCCTGCCGCCGTCCCAGCTCGTCGTCCGCGACGAGGACCAGGAGGCCGAGGCCGCCTACCAGGCGGCCATTAAGGAGAGCGAGGAGGAGGAGCAATGGAGGGAGTTGGAGGAGGCGGCATTCCAAGCTGCCATGGCGGAGGCCATGGCCCTCTCCATGGCGGGCGACTGTGTAGTGTCGCGAGTGTCCCCGCCGTCCCCGCCCAAAGCCGCGTCGGAGGAGCCGTCCCCCCTCGAGCGCTACTCGTGGACCGGAGTAGTGCGCGGGTGGGTCAGCGCTCCGCCGATCTGGCTCAGGGCCAGCTGCTCGAGCGCGAGGCCGAGGAAGAGGCACGCCAGACCCAGGCAGCGGCGGTGCTGCCCGCGGCGGCACAGCCCGACATCGCCGCCCTTTGAAACACGGCGTTCCCCTGGGCCGGCCTTGCGTCGACGCTGATCGATCTCACCGGCCCCGACGCAGACGCCCACGACGAGGAGGACGAGAACGCTTAGGGCAGCGCGCCATCGTCTAGTTTTCAATTTTTTGATGTTTAATTAATGTAACATGGACTATCGTCGGGCTTTGTGGCCGGCTTTTATGTTTAATTAAATACTTGTTTTATTTTTGAAATGCTTAAACGTTTTTTATTTCCGCGCCGATAAAAATGGATCGGGCCGGTGTTGGGCGCTCGCGCCGGCCCAAACGCGATAGCGGACGTTTGTGTTCGTCGGACCGACCTACACAGACAAAAAGCGCATAAAAATGCCGTCCGTTTGGGTCGTCCATTGAAGTTGCTCTTATTGATTAGTTGATTTTTGACCTTTTCTATTCATGATCATCCACCTTGTTCTTCATACCATACACGTTTGTGCCCTATCAAAGGGCATCAGTCTGCAGCAACTCGTAAATTAAAGGGATTTTTGTATTCGTATCCCTAGTTGGGTCACGCTCGACTGATTTGCCCCTATTTTTTCAATAATTACGGTTTTGTCCAGCTCACTTCACTCGCCTTGTGTTTTTGCCTTTCCGGGATGGTTCTGACCAATGAGCAGTCGCCACGTGGCGAACCGTGATTGGTCGGAACCGCCCCAGAAGGGCAAAAACACATGTCAAGTGAAGTGAGTTGGGCAAAACCGTAATTGCTGAAAAAATAGGGGCAAATTAGTCGAGCGTGACCCAACTAGGGGCACGAATACAATTGTTCCTAAATTAAAAGGTATCAGAATATGCCACCGCCTAATCTCTACACATAGGTTTAGAAAATAACAAAAATTATGCCAGTATTAGAAGAAAAAAATAGTATAGCAATCTTCAGGAAAAAGTCAAACTAGAACATACACACACGACCCCCTCCAGCTGGCCACATTGAGACGAAACAGAGCACACAAAGCCCTCCTCCTCCCTTCGTCTCCGTTGCTCCATCCCATTCCCAAGCTCCATACTCCACCACGAGCTAGCTAGTACTGCTGTCCTGTCAGGGAGGCCGACCGGCCAAGAAGATCGAGGCATGGCCGAGGCCATCCGGGACGATCATCGCGGCGCGGTCGACGACGACACCGGCCTGCGCCCGACCAACAACGGCGACAGCACGTGGGAGATAGAGGAGCTGGAGCCGGACGACCGGACGGCCGGACCGCCTCCTCCCCCTCCTCCCGGGGCAGCGGCCACCTCCGACGCCGACGACGTGTACGTGGCGGTGGGCAAGGGTGGGTCCAGCATGGCGGCGCTGTCGTGGGCGCTGACGCAGCTCGCGAGGCCGCGGAGCTTCGTCTACCTCGTGCACGTCTTCCCCGTCGTCGCCACCATCCCCACCCCATGTAATCAAGCAACCCTCTTCTCCCCCTTTCCTACCTCCTGAATCAAACATGTTCACCTTAGCATTGCGAGATCGATGAAGCTACCTTATTACTAGTTGCCTCCATGAAGTAACAATCAGAACACTAACGATTTTGCAACATGAATGTACAAATAGTGATGATCTAAACGCTCTTATATTTTTTTACGGAGGGAGTAAAAGTTAAAAAGTTACTGGTAATCAAAGTGTCACGTTAAGATCGACGGCTAACATTCCAAAACAGTTGGTAAGAACACAGTAGAAACAAGTCTGGTCTTGGATCGACCACCAATGGCCAATGGGTCCCAGCAACGTTCACATAGACAAGGGATTGGCTGGCAAGGGGTGGTTGCAAACAAGGTCATGATCTTGGACTGGTCTCTAGAGGATTTGGAATTGTATGATTGGAACTTTCAAAGGCGGCACCGCCAGTCCACCACACCTGGCTGTTAGGGGTTTTGGAGCTGCCGTGAAGAATAACGATTGAAAAAGTCGGCCCGTCGCGGAGCTGCAATCGAGGAAGTTCTAAACTGTTGTTGATGCTGACCTAGGTTTTCATGGACTGATCTGTTCGGACTCACACTTTTCAGTGTTAATTATACTGACTAGGTGGACATGGTGTTTTCCCAAGAACAGTTACTTGGTTAATTTGATGCTGATAGCTATCAGGTTTTTGCTTAAAAGGAGATTAGGGTTCTCATCTTACATCTCCATTTTTTTCTTTTGCCGAAGTATATGTCCAATGATAGCCACAAAAGGGAGAGAATGAATGCTTTTGGTAGACCTTGTAGAGAAAAGGCATAGTGCTTGTGCCAGGTATCATTTTCCAAGTATATATTCTCAACAATCATTTTATGAAAAAAAAAATCTCAGCTATCAGATCAAACTTTTTAGCTCAAGGCTGAATGATATGTGGAGTATATAGGATGCCAAACTTTAGGCGTTAGGTTCCTATGCCGGGGAGAGTGGGGCGCATACCAGTCTCTGATGTTAGCCTGCCACTGAAGTGTGAACAATCCAAAACAATAAGATTCCTTTCTTGATATATAGCTTCATCTTCTCTTTTTTTTTTGAGGGCGTATATAGCTTCATCCTTCTTATACACGATAACCCGATAGAGGCTTTCAACAGCTATTTATACACATATTTGTTTGTAAACCATTACACCTTTTTATCTATATATCACGAGGTCCAAGAGACAAATATGTCGATTTTTTTAATTCTTTTTGGCGTTAGTTTTTTTTCTTTCTACGTGTGGTTTAATAGTTATGTCCTGAATATCAGAGTTTTCTGAATGTAATCATTTGACTACTGAACAGCAACAAAGATTTAGTTAAAAGGCGTCTTTATGTTGTGAGGAATCTGACACATGTGGCAACAATTTTCTGAAATAGTAGGAATGATGCCTAAGAGACAAGCAACCCCAGAGCAAGTAGAAACTTACATGAACCAAGAGAGATCCAAGAGGAGAGAGATGCTGCAAAAATTTCTGGAGCACTGTCGCAACTTTCAGGTAAACTGGCTGCATCAGTTCTTTGCAAATTCTTTTTTGCTTCCTGCCGCGCTTTGAGCTAGCAGCATCTGGACGCCAAATTTCATACTAGTAAAATTCCATTCTTGCAAATTATGTTCAGGTTAACGTCGATGTGTACCTCATCGAGAGTGATCAAATCGCCGATGCCGTCGCTGAACTTATCCCTGTTCTGAATATAAAGCAGCTAGTACTCGGGGTTGCAAAATCCAACTTGCGGTGAGGTCTAATATACCATGAAGGATGAAAATCAGCAGGATTTCAACTATTTTCTTCAATTTGGAAAATAATATGTGTACTTAATTTTGAATGGACACAGGAAGTTGAAGAAAGGGAACACAATAGCAGGACAGATACAGAAGAATGCACCTCTCTACTGCAAAGTCAAGATTGTCTGTGATGACAAAGAAGTTGCAGTGGCGACGGCTGCTGATCCGACGCCACCATTTTCACCTTCCCCTGTAAATAACAACAGCAGATCTCGCACCCCGACACCGCCATCATCTACGCCAAATAGCGATAGCATAGAGGCAGTTGATGGCAAAAATGATAGCAAAACCAAAGAAAGAAGGAAGATTCCCAAGTTTCTCAGGTGCCTGTCATCCTGATTGCTGTTTCAGTCACTTTCACAGCTGGAATGCTGTATGCGCCATCTTCAGGTAGCAAAAAGTTTGTGATTAAAAGTTTTGTCATATTTTGAATTTTAAACTTCTCGATCCATGATGTACAAATGAGATGATTTACCGTACATGGAGCTTTTCAGCGTATCTCTGTGGGGTTCTTTCTTATTTTATTTTATTTATTTTGTAATGAAGCCTTGTACTTAATTGTAGTGGTTATGGAGCTACATGAAAAAATGCATTTGCATTTGGAAACATACAGATGATATAGATGCACCTGTGGCCTAAGACTTCATAAACATTTTGCAGAACGTGCATAACTGGACAGAGAAGATGGTTAGGTAGAAGTTGTAGCCAATCATTTAGTAGCATAATTGTTGATAGGGAGCATCTGTGCTATATTAGGACAAATCAGTGAGCTCAGCAACTTATAAAAAGTTAAATAACGTCATCAGTGCCTTAGTGCAAGTTGACATGCACATGATTACCCTACTTCAATCAAACACTATTTCAGCAAGACTTGTCGCCTGAATGTGATTCAGATCGTGCACACAATGATGCAGCCATCAGTGTGAGCAACAGCAATGACCAAGCAGGTAAAAACACCGCATAGTCCCCAACAAAACAAGGCTTGCTGACAGTAATAACTTTTTTTACGACAGCATACGCTGTACAAAACTGAGCTTAATTCTGCACACTGCACGAAGATTTCAACTCACAAAGATTAGCGACTTCAAAACTTATGGAGGAATATAAATTTGAAACTTCCATTCGTTCACTACAAAACAGGAAATAGGTTGACAGACACAAAAATCTACATACGACTCATCTGTCAGACACATACATGCGGAAAGCCTACAACCTCTAATTATGCAAAACAAATGGGAAAAAAAAGAACATTCTGTTCACTAAAAGAAATCAAACTCTAAATAGTTATCCGAGCCTTTCTGGGATGCACCAGTAGGTGCTGCACTAGCCTCAGATGTTGACACTGGCAGCTTTGTAGTCTGCCTCTCAATCTCAACAGGCTTCGGAACCTCTGGAGGGCTCGCACAGCGTATCAACGCCCAATTCACACCCTCAAAAAATGGATGCTGTTTTATCTCGGTGGCGCCACGCTTACAACCCAATCGTTGTTGGGGCTCCTTAACAAGTAGGCCCCTTATTAAATCTCTTGCTGAGAAGCTCACAAATGGGTATTCTGGGAAACGCAACGGCTGACCGATGACATTGAACAGAGTCGCTCGGTTACCTGAACCTTTGAAAGGTGTTTTGCCGAACAGAAGCTCGTATAAGAATATACCAAAGGTCCACCAGTCAACAGCACTGCCGTGGCCCTCACCTTTGATAATCTCAGGGGCCAAATACTCATGTGTGCCAACAAATGACATTGATCGCGCATCACTAGGTTCTGCCATGAGCTCGGGCCATGGACGGACCTGGTTGACAACTTCAGGCTTTGGCTTTCGATCTTTCTTCGACTTCGAGAAGAACCGAGGGCCAAAGCATGTTGTGGGAGCTGTGCACGATGGCTGTATCATGCAGGATGGCTCTGCACAAGCTGGTTGAACACAGTAGGCTTGGCTGCTCTTCCGAAGTGCTTCTGTTTCGGGATTGGATGACCTGATTAAAGTCGGGCTAACTGTACAGCGAAGGGAGAGGTCGAAGTCGGATAGCATGATGTGCCCGTCATCACGGACAAGAATGTTTTCAGGCTTCAGATCACGATATATGATACCGAGCATGTGCAAGTACTCCATAGCAAGGAGGATTTCTGCTACATAGAATCTGTGATTAAGAAGAAATGCAATATCGAATCAGTGTGCAGCAGTTTTTATTTAGTAGAAATAACTTGTAAGAAATACTAAAAAAGGTATTCACAACAATATTACTGGGATATTTATGTCGCTATATGTTGTATTTGCTTCATTTAATTTGATGCATGTTTAGTTCTGCTGCATGGATGTAATCTGAAGCAAAGTAGATGGGTTTTTTTAGCAGCAAATTAAATTTGCAAATGTTGCTTTCTCGTTGACAATTTCCACAAGATCATACGATATCTGGCCAATTAGCACATTACAGGCAATTTTTCATACATTCAGCTAACTTGAAACAGATAGTAACTTTCCGCTATTCTTGGCTTTGTTGCCACGATACATGGGAACACACAGAATCGGATGAACGCTATTGTTTAAAATACTAAGAAAATGCTGAATCCTAAAAGTCAAGAAGACAGTAAAGTATATTATGTACAGCGTAAAAGATGGATCAGACATACTTGACAGCTTGTTCTGGAAAATACTTGCCACGCTGTTTCTGTCGAAGTGTATGCAAGTCTCCCCCAGGGCAAAACTCCATAACCAGACATGAGAACTTGTCAGTCTCAAAGTGTGTGTACAGTGTTGGAAGAAAAGGATGATCCAAGCACTGTAAGATTTCCTTCTCAGTCTGGGCTCGAAGCAACTTCTTACGGCCTGTGAGTGATGCCTTGTCCATAACCTTCATTGCAAAATAGCTCTTGGTTCCAGTCAACTCTGAAAGATACACACTGCCGATGTCACCACAACCTAGCTTCTTCAATAGCTTAAAATGGCTGAGGCCAAGAATCCCATCTCTAGTCCTGATCATCTGGATTGCCTCCCACCGTGAATCATTTGCCTTGTGAGGCTTGCTGGTGCTACTAAAACTGCTGCACGCGCTTTCCTCGCTGACATCACTGCCTGTGCTCGGCCTGCATCGGCTACTAATACCTCTTTCTCCAGTCTCAGACCTTCCTGTCAACCTGGCACTTCCACTTGCACTAGCTGCACCATGATCCTTATCTACCGTCGAGTCTGATTTCACGTTTCCATCTGTGTTTCCATTTTCCACTGTATCCTTCTCATCATCTGCAGGAACCTTGCTGGATGTAACATCAACGGACTCATGTAGCTTGTGAGATGGTTTCTGGTCATTGGACTGGACTTCTTTGTTTGGACTGCTCGGGATAGCCGATTCGGGCAATTTTCTTGGCAAGCCTGTACTGGGTTTACTCGAACTGGTGAGATCCAGAGAGGAATCATTCTGAGAACACTGCTTCTTTTCTTCAGTGTTGGGGATTGTTGGGATGGTTTGGGGCATTGTCTTGGAAGTCATTGCTCTGACAACTGAAACCTGAACCCCAGATTGCAATACTACTGGTCAATCAAGGGTTTGAGCTTGGATGGACCACTGAAGTGCATTCCAAATCTGCAAAAGGAGCAAGAAAAATCTTATAAACCAAAGATAGATACATGCAGGCAATAATTGCATGACTACATGAGCCATCAACTCAAAGAGCAAAAGATCACCAACAGTCAACCATCACTCCCAAGCAAGATCAAGAAAGAACCTCCACACTCACCACTCAGATCCATCAACCTTCCCACCAAAGTGAGAGAGAAGTGAGTCCTGTCACAAGCCACAACTGGACTTAACAAAGTTATCACTTGAGAGTTCATGTCGCCCCTCCTATCCTAGTCCTATATATGGCACTGGCGAGGCCACTGAACCTGTCCAACCGCCCAGTAACTGTAATCATGCAACACTATGGATGCAGATGTAGCACTCCCCACTCGGGAATAAACAAGATTTGTTAGGGATCCGCAAAGAGCGGTGCCCTCTTTCTTTCTTTCTTTCCCATCAGAAAAGGAGAGGAAAGAAAAGCGGCTCCCAATCCCCCATCACCCACCCGAAAACGACGCCTTTAGCCCCTCGCAGGCGCATTTTACCACGATCGATTGGAAACGGTGCTGCAGGCGCATCAATGGCGTCCTTTACCGCCATCAATGGCGCCCTTTACTGTCACATCGAAACGCAGACTTTCTTGCAGAGAAAACCGAGGGAAAGCGGGAAATCATCATGGAGCCGGCAGGGGGTGCCACGCGCTTTCGGCTTTTGATCTGCGGAATGCGGAGGCACGGAATCTCGCGGTCGCTGCAGTAAAAAGAGTAAACGGCGGCGCGCATGAACGGCAGCGCAGATCTAAACATGGCCGGATCACGGTCCGGTAACGGCGGGAGGAAGAGGGACAAGAGCCGGAGATCGAAGCAGGGGAAATGCTGCCATGAAAGAACAAGAAAAGGTGCGAGAAATCTCACCGGAATGGCGTCGTCGTCGGGGCCTTGAGGGGTGGTAGATCTTCGCGCGTCCGGGGATGAGACAAAGAGGAAGGAGAAGGAAGGACGAGGAGCGCCCGGAGGAGGCGGATCGAGTCACGGGGTACCCGACCAAGGAGCTGCCTGTGGGCTCTCGTGCTGCGCGGCTCGGGAGTTGCGACGAGTGAGAGGTGGTGGGTCGTTGGAGGAGTGTATGCGCAGTAGTAGGAGTAGTAGTGGTGGTAAAGAGGGAAGGGGAGGCGCGCAGGAGGCGGAGAAAGGCGACGTGCCGGGCGCTGAAAGGCCAGCTTTCTCTTTCGTCCACGCTGAAATCGCTGTGGATTCGTTCGCGGAGGTGATGATTCTGTCGAAATTTTGGGGCTCCGGCTGATGGGGAGACGACGTGACGGGGTTATCCCAAAAATGACATGGATGGCCGCCCTCTGCATGGACCTTTGTGTCGGCACCCGGAGCTTGCAGCCGGGAGCAAGTTTCAGGTGGAGCAATCCAGCGACGTCGGAGATGCTCCCTCAGTCTCGACCTCGGTCCCCAATTACTCGTCTTAAAAATAGATGAACTCAATGTATGTAAAATTCAAAATATGTCAAAATACATTTATTTCTGCGACAAATAATTTGAGACGGGGGAAGTGTTGGAAATATGAGCAATTTATCGAATGATTTTATTAACAGAAATACTAGATAAAGCACGACTAGGATAGCAGTGATAAAACAAGTCATGCAATTTGACAAAGAAAAGGTAAACAACATCTTCATATATAAACTGTAACTAAACACATCTAAAGCAGATAGTATAGCAAGTTGCGTATATGAAACAGAGTCTAACATATCTAGGGCAAACATTATAAGAAGGAACTGTAGCAGGGCCTCTAATAGAAAGAGAAAGAACATGTACGGGACAGCAGCAGCAGAAGCGCCGGACTTGGGGTCGGTGTCCTCGCCAGCCATGTCGTCGAGGAGGTTGTCGACGTCGGGGAAGTAGTCGTCGGAGTCCGGGGCGTCCGTGACAAAGAAGTCAGTAGTCGTGCTGAGCGCTCCCCAAAAACCTTATCACCCTTCTCCCATACAGAACTCAAAGAGGTGGAGTTTCGGAGGCCTACTGTCCCGACCTGCAGTGGACGCCGCAAGCCGGGATGGGAAAGATCATAGCAGCAGCCCAGTGCTCAGGAACTTTGTGGTGAGAGGAAAAGGATCTTCTCGTGCGTATCTCTGAGAGGAGCGATCTCCCTTTTATAGGCGCAAGAGAAGGAGGCGAGAGGCTGCGCCAGGAGCTGAAGGGAACGAGGGAGACGAAACGAATAGGCAGCAGGCGAAGAGGTGTGTCGTTCGTATCCAATCTCCACTACAGCAAAACGTTTCAGCTTCCGCGTGACCTTTCGTATACCCGTCGTGCGTAATAAAAATTTAGACATCGGCTCGGCTCATTCCCACAACCCGCGGCACGTCGTGACGTGGCGTGGCGTGGCGAGGCGGTCGTCGGAGGAGTGTGCATGGATGTCTCTCTTGTTCTCATCCTCATACATGTGGAGAAAGAGCCTCCCTTATAAAGAGGTCCAACTCCCTCTAAACTAGCAATGTGGGGCTAAACTTTAGTTCTACCTCTTACCTTGCACGAATGGGTGCGTGGGCATCTAGGATTTATTAGAATTTTTCTGAAACTGCTAATGGGCTAGGCCCAAAATAGACAAAATTCCAGCAATTCCCCACCAGATCCCAAAGGCACGCAAAATTTGCCTTTGGTTCCAAAACACTGTTTTATATACCGGTACTGTAGTGGAGACTGTTAAGTTAAACTTCCACCTAAAACTCTAGACTATGATGAAGCTATGTACCTAGGGTAGGGTCATGGATCTATCCAACATACCCTCCCCAAGGACATCTCTAAAGGAACCAGGAGCATTCGAAGAAAAATCATCATTCACTCGACCATAAAGCTAGGTTCCACTAGACAGTCTTGAAGACACTCGACCGTATGGACAATCACTCGACTACCAGAAGATCTAGAGCCATTGCACTCTGCAACGGTTGGGAATTAAGTCATAGCTTTATGGGTCATTATGTATCTTTATGGCAGGCATTACCAGTAACGTCTCCATCTTTATGCACCTTAAACCCTTTGTAACTGAGGGCGGGAGGGGTTTGGCGAACTCTATATAAGCCACCCCCCTTCTCAGGGACAAGGGTTCGCACCCCCTGTAACACACACGCATATAATCCAGTCGACCACCTCCTGGCTCCGAGACGTAGGGTTGTTACTTCCTCTGAGAAGGGCCTGAACTCGTAAAACTCGTATGAACAACTCCTCCATAGATAGGATCTTGCCTCTACATCCCTACCCCCCATTCTACTGTCAGACTTAGAACCACGATAGTTGGCGCCCACCATGGGGCCGGTGTCTTAGCGAATTGTTGGAGAAGTTGTGATTTTTCCGATCCCCTTCAACATGGTTTCAGGCGGAGGTTTGGCCAAGGGCCACGAGATCCGTCTCGGTGCGCTCGTATTCATCGCCGACGACTCTGCTTGGCTCCAGGAAGCGCCACTCGACCTCGAGGCGCTCCCTGTCCGCGGGGCAACGCACTTTCGCGCATGCGTCCGTGACGTCCTCCTGCGGCAGCCGTCGACTCAGTATCGGTAGGCTCCCGTACCGACCTCCCTCCCTGCAGCTCGCCGGGGCAAACGTTTCGGTCGGTCGAGGCTTCAGCGGTGGGTGAGGCACGCGGTGGCTCGCCAATCGGCCACTCCCCAGGTCACGGCAATCGAGCCCGACGAAACTCTCTACGGCCCGTTCGACCTGTCGACTGGCTCCGTAGAGACCGCATCCGAGTGTGACAGCAGCGACCCCGCGGCAGAAGTTTTGATGGTCAATGGACGACGTAGTCCTCCTGGCTTCACCCGTGAAGACGGAGGTGATGGTGACGGCGATTCGTCGCGTGTCCACGAAGAGTACCGACCCGAACCCCTCTCTTCATAGAGGAGGGAGGAACTTCGCCACCGGAACATGGATGCACTTCACACTCCTATCGTTGGAGAAACCACTGAGGCCCAGGCCTTGGAGGAGGCGCGCCTGGCCAACTTGGCTGAGCGCACTCGACTAGAGAACCTCCAACGCGCACTCGACGAGCGTGCTCGGCAGCGTGCTCCCGAATTGAGTCGATGTCAACTTTTTCCACCTCCGAATCAGGTATACCGAACTCCAATCCAGAATCTTGCAGCTGCGGCCCAAATAGCGGAGTCAATTCAACCTTCCCAATCAGAAGCTGGTCGAGGTTTGGTGCAGATCCGGGTTTTTTTCCGAGCCACGGGAGAGCAGAATACAGTAGTATCTCAGTCACGGAATAGGATTCACAGCAGATCCGTAGTTGCGGACACAGTCCAGTCGGCTCACAGCCTGAGATCGCCCCCGAGGCGTGAGGGACGTGGAGACCGACGAGATCAGTACAAAAACCATGAGCAATATGATCACCAACTCGATCACGATGATCGTCGTCGAGGGCCCATGCCTCCCCCAAGGAGTGGATCATATGTGCCTCGGCAGCAGGATGACAGACGCCCTCACAGTGGTGGGCGAAGGATTCCAGTCGACCCCAGGGAACCAGGCTTTGATGCGAGATCTATTCTCGTTCAGGGTCTGGTCGACAGAAACAGAGCTCACAGAGAAGGCCCTGACAGAGATTTTTCAACCAGCAGTAGAATGCATGTCTCAGGCCCAGAGTGCTTCAGCAGAGCCATCAGGGCTGCGGTGATTCCTCCCAACCTCAGGTTGGCGACTGGAGTTAGTAAGTTCACTGGTGAGTCCAAGCCTGACACTTGGCTTGAAGATTACCGAGTGGCTGTACAGATCGGTGGCGGCAACGATGAAGTGGCCATGAAGCACCTTCCTTTGATGCTAGAGGGCTCGGCCAGGGCGTGGCTGAATCAGTTAGCTCCTGGTAGTATTTATACTTGGGAAGGTCTTGCTCGAGTATTTGTCAGAACGTTTGAAGGTACTTGCAAGCGGCCAGCAGGGTTGACAGAATTACAGTGTTGTGTTCAAAAACCGAAGGAAACTTTGAGGGATTATATCCAGAGATGGATCACGTTGCACCACACGGTGGAGAATGTGTCAGATCACCAAGCAATTTGTGCCTTCAAAGAAGGCGTTAAGTATCGGGAGTTGAATCAGAAATTCGGTCGGACAGAAGATATGACTCTGACTCGGATGATGGAGATTTCCACCAAGTACGCCAATGGTGAAGAAGAAGACCGACTCCGGAGTGGCAAACACAAAACAGTCGCCGACGAAACCGAGGGAGGAAACTCCAGTCGGAAGCAGAAGCGCAAAGCCGAGCCAGCCGCTCCTGGTGAAGCCTTAGCCGTGACTCAAAGGAAGTTCAAGGGGAAACCCAAAGGACCATGGAACCCCAAGAAAGTAAAAGATCAGGATGGAAATGATGTGCTGGATTTACCATGCCACATTCACACCAAGAAAGATGAAGAGGGTAATTTCATCTACCCAAAGCATACCACTCGACAGTGTCGACTCCTAATCCAGCAATTCCGAGAGAAGCAGCCCAAGGAAAAGGAGAAAGAAACAGACAAAGTTGAGGATGGGGAGAGGACGATGATGGTTACCCGCACGTCAATTCCACTCTGATGATTTTTGCTGATGTTGAGAGTATGTCATCAATAGAGAAGTGAACATGGTTGCTCCGGTGACACCCAGTTATTTGAAGTGGTCTCAGACTGCCATCACATTCGACCAGTCCAATCACCCAGCGCTGGTGGTCGACCCAGTAGTCGAAGGTAATCGATTGACTAAGGTTCTGATGGATGGTGGCAGTGGCCTGAATATACTGTATGCAGAGACGTTGAAAGGAATGGGCATTCCGATGTCCAGACTCAGTGAAAGCAATATGAGTTTCCATGGAGTCATCCCTAGCAAGAAGGAAGCGTCACTCGGCCAGATCACCCCTGATGTAGTGTTCGGTGATTCCAAGAATTACTGCAAAGAAAGTTGACATTTGAAGTCGTAGATTTCCAGAGTGCTTATCATGCTATTTTGGGCAGGCCAGCTTATGCACGTTTTATGGCTCGACCATGTTACGTGTACCTCAAATTGAAGATGCCTGGTCCCAAAGGGGTGATCACTATCACTGTCAATCGAAAGAAAGCAGAAGAGTGCTTCCAGAAGGGCTCAAAGATCGCCGACGCACAGATGGCAGTAGTGGAATTGCAGGAATATCAAAAAAATGCAGATCCGAGTGATTTGTTGCGAGCTAAGAAGCCTGCCACGGATTCAGCATTCCAGTCGTCTGGCGAAACAAAGTCGACTCACATTCACCCGATGGACCCCAATGCTGCTCCGACTCACATTTCAACAACACCCGACTCCAAATAGGAAGAAGCGCTCATCGAGTTCCTCTGTGAGAACTGGGACATCTTTGCATGGAAACCTTCTGGCATGCCAGGTGTTCCCAGGGGACTGGCTGAGCATCGTTTGCGAGTAGACCCAAAAGTGAAACCAGTCAAAGAACATCTTCGATGGTCCGCCGTACAGAAGAGGAAGGCAATCGGTGAAGAAGTGGCTCGGCTCCTGGCAACTGAGTTTATCCGAGAGATTTACTGCTCCGAGTGGTTAGCTAATGTTGTCATGGTCCCAAAGAAAGACGACTCACTTCACATGTGCATTGACTTCAAACATATCAATCGGGCCTGCCCGAAAGATCATTTTCCTCTCCCTCGCATCGACCAAATAGTCGACTCGACTGCGGGGTGTGAGTGTTTGTCCTTTTTGGACGCTTATTCCGGGTATCATCAGATCCGTCTGTACGGACCCGATGAGATAAAAACAGCTTTCATCACCCCGTTCGGGTGCTTCTGTTATGTCACTATGCCATTCGGTTTGAAGAACGTTGGAGCCACATTCATGTAGATGATTCAGAAGTGCTTGCTCACCCAGATCAGTCGGA